TCAAGTTTATATCCGCCCAGAAATTCACACACTCCATCAACAACAGGAACCACTACGTATGAAGAATTTATCTGTCAGATGGTGTAGATCATCCATGAACACTTTTTTTTTTTCTTTTTTTTTTTTTTTTTGTTTTTTGTTTTTCAAGACAGGGTTTTTCTGTGTAGCTTTGCGCCTTTCCTGGAACTCGCTTTGTAGACCAGGCTGGCCTGGAACTCACAGAGATCTGCCTTCCCCTGCCTCCCTGGAACTCACAGAGATCTGCCTTCTCCTGCCTCCCGAGTGCTGGGATTAAAAGCATGCACCACCACTGCCCAGCCATGAACACTTTCTATAAGTCATTAAAAAGTAGGAGACACAAACAGAGCTATAAGTAACTTTGAGGTTAGTTTCAGCAAGGGTTGCTCAGAAAGGTTGCTAGTATTTCTTAAATTTATATAGTTTTATATTACTAGAAATTCTTACGCTTAAAAATTAGTTATAGCTCACTTAGGGCTGGAGAGATGGCTCAGCGGTTAAGAGCACTGGCTGTTCTTCCAGAGGTCCCGAGTTCAACTCCCAGCAACCACATGGTGGCTCACAGACATCTGTAATGAGATCTGGTGCCCTCTTCTGGCCTGCAGGCATACATGCAGGCAGAACACTGTGTACATAATAAATAAATAAATCTTTTTTAAAAAGAAAAGAAAAGAAAGAAAGAAATAACTCAGTCAGTAAAGTCCTTGACACATAGGCACAGGGACCTGAGTTAAATTCTTAGAACTTGTGATTTGATAAAAAAAAAAAAAAGATAGGCATAATGCCCACATGTGTGTAATCCCAGCACTGGGGAATGAGAGCAGAAAGATGCCTGGAGCTCACTGACTGGCCAGCCTGTCTACTCTATGAGCTCCAAGCCAATGACAGTCACTGTCTCAGAAAACAAGGCATCTGGTTCCTAAGGAATTACACTGAGGTTGACCTCTGACCTCCTCAAGCAAGCGAGAGTACACACACACACACACACACACACACACACACACACACACACACACACACACACACTGCTCATTTGAGGAAGCTCATTTACTCCCTAACACAAACCTAAAGGAATCTAGGCTACTATGGGAAATGGCCCTACATTTGAGATAGGATCTTTAATCCCTTGTCATCTACATACACAAAGAATTTTTATTTCCTTGCCCTGGATATTTCTGCTAAAGCCTAGTCACAGATCAGTACTCCTGAGGAGAAAGATCAATAACCAATGCATCAACTTCCTTACTTGAACTCATCAATTCACAAGTAAGGACCTTCCCTGCAATGTAGTAGAAGAGTTGAGTGAGGTGATGAGAAGTCAGCATGGTTTCCAGAGAATCTTACAGAAGCTAAGTCAAGGCTGACATTAACACCTTCTCGGGGCTGATGAAATTACAGGCCAACTGTGTGAAGGAGGTAGGAGAAGGGGACAGTCACCCATCAAAAGCACACAAAGACTTGGGGTGTATTTCACATACCAGAAGGTCATCTACATCTAATACTCTTTCAGCTTACCAATATTTTCTTGCTGGCTACTTGATATTTTGAAGCAATACCTTCTAACCTATATACTTTAGAGCCATTCCAATAGTTATCAGTTAAAATTTTATAGTTTTAATATGCTTCACTGTATCTAGATGTCTCACTGCGTTTCAACTAGCCTGTGTTGTACTACATGTCAACACACATTTGGTCAAAGAAGTCACAGTCTAAAATAAAGATCATTAAAGTCCATTGTTTCAACATACAATGTAGTTAAATAGGATCTGTGGTCCCAAAGAATCAGGTTAAAAACTATACTGTTTATACATCCCACCATAATCTTTGAAAATTAAATTTTAAATGTTATAAAGTAACTATTTTCTCTAGGCTAGAAAACAAACACTTTTCCTTTATTTGAATAGTGTGGCATATAATAGATGATACAAAATAGTGAAACACAAGAAAAATATGTTTGACCTTATAATGGTTTTCTACAAGACATTTACTTTGATGAACTTATTTGGCATATTAAATTAGGTTGCAGTTCCCATACATACACTAAATGACAGCAGGAAGCATAGTCTAACGGTACAATTATAAAACAAAATATAATAATAATAATAATAGGATGAGTCTCCAAGGAACACTTAAAAAGTAACTGTAAATTATTATTCATTATAACAGAAAATGGAAAACTCTCATATTAGTGCAGTTATCAAAGGATAAATCAGGTCAAGGGGAAAACAAAGGTATCTTACAATGCCCTGGAAACTGTGGGCAGCTCAAAAGTGTTTATTCAAGCAGAGACTGAGTTAGAATAAAGAGGATCATCATAATGAACCTAGTGGTTCCAAGATTCTCAATACACTCCCTCTCATTGTCTTTCTGTGTGCATGCATAAATCCACAGAGGAGCTCATCTCAAAGGATATAATGGCAATTCTTGGAAAGTGAACAGAAATGGGATGAGAATCCAGTTCCAAGCAAACCTTTGACATTTTAGGTAATTTTGTTTTAAGCAAAGGAGTACTCCATTTATTTATTTATTTATTTATTTATTTATTTATTTATTTGCTTGCTTGTTTGTTTACTTACTTACTTATTTGCTTATTTATTTACTTACTTATTTTTGCAATTCTTCACACGTAGCATATATTTTAGAAGTACTTTTTCAGCCAGGCAGTGGTGGCGCATGCCTTTAATCCCAGCACTCAGCAGGCAGAGGCAGGTGGATCTCTGCAAGTTCAAAGCCAGCCTGGTCTGCAGAAGGAGCTCCTGGACAGCCAGAGCTATACGAATAAACCTTGCCTCAGAGGGGGAAAAAAAGCACTTTTTTGTGGTCTCCACCTCATTCATTCTCCTTGTCCTTCACAAATCACCACTTCATAGTTACTGCTAACATTTTCGGAACTCTCTCTAAGAGCCAGGCAGTGTCCCAAGCCCCATGTGTCATTAAATCCTCACATGAATTTTGTAACATAAGTATAACTATTATTTCTCTTTTGTGGATGTGGAGGCCATGGCACACAGCTCCCTAAGCCTGTTTTCCCAACCACTGCCTCAAAGAAAGAGGTCCACATCTTAATTTCTAGAACTGGGAATGTCACCTCACTTGGAGACAGGGTCTTTGTGGATGTAATTAAGGATCTTGAGGTGAAGCTATTATCTTTGGTTGTGTGGATGAGCTCTGAGTCCAATGACAGCATCCTTATAGGACACAGAAGAGGAAGAGATGCAGACAGCCAGGGGATGCTCTGTGATGGCGGAGGCAGAAACTGGAGAGACATGGGCACATGACAAGGGAACAGAAATAATAGGAAACTAGCAAAGAGAAAAATGAACTCTTCCCCATAGAGTCCTGGGAACCAGACAGCCCTGCAGACTCCGGACTTTCAGCCTTCGGAGCTGTGGGAGAAGACATTTCTGTTATTTATGCCACCCAGCAGGTGGCAATTGGTTAAAGCCACCCAAGAAAACCAGTACAACCACCAACTGTGTTGCCACAGTCTGAGAAAATAAAGCATCTCTTGATGACCATCTTTTTTTCTTTTCTTTTCTTTTTTCTTTCCTTCCTTCCTTCCTTCCTTCCTTCCTTCCTTCCTTCCTTCCTTCCTTCCTTTCTTTCTTTCTTTCTTTCTTTCTTTCTTTCTTTCTTTCTTTCTTTCTTTCTTTCTTTCTTTCTCTCTTTTTGTAGCACCGGGCACAAGGCAAGCACTGTGTCTCTGACTCACATCCACAGCCCACACAAGCATCCCATATTTTAACCCACAAGGAAGATCAAATCCAGCTTCTCGTTCTGCGTGCCACAAAAGCCCCCTGTGTCTGACTCCTTGATAATTCAAGTTGCGCTGAATTCTGCACATGCTCACATTCTTTATTTCTACAGTTCAACGTCTACTGCCCCTGCTCTACCTCAGATCGATGGCAGTGCAGCATCTTGCAATTAAAATAACAGGTGCTTTCCTGGAACATCTTTTTCTTGTGTTTCACACATAATTTAAGCAGTGTGTAAAGTACATACTTCAATTATCACAAATAGCATGTGATGTACCACACTTGAAAAATGAGATGTGTTCTACTATTACTATTCTGAAAAGCTCCTAACATTTCAATCCAGAAAGTAAATGATGTTGTATTGAATAGGTACTTAACATATGCTTTGAAATTCTCCAAATACATATTTAGTGCTTCAAATAACCATGGCATTCTTTGGGTTGATTGACTGCTATTGAAAATTACTTCTATCATATTGAATAGCCTCTGCTTGTCCCTCCACATCTAGTCCTCCACCCCAGGACTGGGTCCTCAGGTTGATGAGAAGAACCATCTAGAATGTCATTCATAATTGATTCAAATATGATTTGGGACTTCTTAGCTGATGATGTTCAGTGAGGTTCTGAGTCTCATCCATTGCACTGGACATCTTTGTCCCCTGCTAGTGAGTAAATTCTCTGGCAGAAAGGATGATTGGAGAAGGAGGTTGGGATATTTATTCCTTCTCCTCTGTCTCTGCCTTGGGTCACAGCACCAGCAGTCTGGAGACCCCTCCATCCGTAGCTGCGAGTTTCCAATGGCTTCGAGCCTTTTCTTCTCTTCAAGCCTTTGTTAGAACTACACCCTCTCATCATGAGATCTTAGTACTTCTCTTCATTTAATTGTTCTCTCCCCCTCCCCATACCTCCATAAACATCTCACCAATAAACATCTCATTATCCCTTTGGGTGCATTTTTTTTCTTCTATCAGACCCTCATTGAAACAGCAATTGAGTGTCCTCCCAACAGCATCAACTGAAATACAAATAATTTCTTCCAACAAATAAAATCTGTATTTTCTAAATACATTCATTTCAGAGACTTGCAGTTAGCCATGACATTTGTGGGTCCTTTCTCCCCCTAAAATCAACAAAAGTGAAAAATAGTAACAGGACGGTCTGTTCCTCTTGGACACTTGTCCCTAGGATAACTGGGCTCTTATCACTGAATGATTTGGTTCCAAAGTACCTGTCATCACCATCAACGATGCACTCAGGGAAGGCGAGGCTGCAGCCAAATAGCAGGATATGTTGATAGCAACTGAGGCGATGGAGATTCATAAAGAACTTGAGGAACTTCTCCATGTCCATGGTTTTGACAATTGGCAAAAGAGGTGTCAGGGTGCTGTGGTAGGGAAGAATCTGACACTGGCTGTGAGTAATGTTCATGCAGGCACCTGGGAAGTGGAGACAGTTACATTTAGAAGTCACATAAGAAATCTATGTGTGTAAGCTTATGCAATATGACAGGTTAATGAGTTCACAATGCAGCATATATTTCATATTACAGTACAACTTTACTACAGACAACCATGTACATAAGTATATGTGGGTATAATAATGACATCAATTTAGTAATGTTTCTGAAGGGAGAGCAGGTGTTTCCTGAGAAAAATGTGGAAAATTCGTGCATAGGGAGCTGCTGTGGAACATTTACCTGGGAAGGACAATATATATCAGTGTGTTTAAACACCCATATCCTTTGACACTCCAATGCCACTTACAGAATTTATCTTAAGAAAATAATCATGGTTGTGAATGTAGATTTGTGTACCTGGACCATATGTAGCTTACTATTTTTCAAAGACAGAAATCCAAGCCTTCAACAGTGGAGATCAGTTTAAATTATATGAACAGACAATGGAATATATAATTCTAGGTATGTGAGATGCTTTGGAAGACTATTTAATTATATGGAATGGTGGGCATAAACCAATAAGCAAAAACAGCACTTTAGGAAAAAAATTGTCTATATAAATACATACAATGACACAAGGATCTGCAATTCAGACTACAGCATACTTCACAATCGTCTCAGAGCTCAGACCTTGTTTCTTTCATGGTCAGTTCTGAAAGGCAATGTCACATCCGCGGCCCAGCCAGTTCTTCCACCCCAGAATTTGTATGCTTAGTCTAACATAAATCAAAATATTGATATGGGTTCATGTAATGGAATTTTTGGATACTTTTATTTTTCATTGTATTCTATACTCTTGTATGGGTTTAATAACCATTTAATACTTTTAACTTCAAGTTTGTTGTTGTTATTCATGCAGACTGTTGTTTAAGAACAAAATTCACAAGCTTCAGGAATGTAGTGAAACAGTTAACCTTCTTTCAATGGAGGGAAAGAAATAGGCAGGGAAATTCAACAAAATGGGAACATCTCTTCTGCGAACTGATGCAAATATCCTCTCCAAATGGAAGGCTAACTCCATGTTCACAAAGTAGGTGTCGACAGACAGTCCTGCCAGCTTAGTATGATGACATAACTACACTCTCCACCTGTAAGTAAGATGAATGTACCCTCTAGTGCAGACTGCCCACTCTTTCATACATAGCTCAGAGTCTACTTTGAAATCTTTCCTTATCCTCTTCCAAGAACATTTCTTATCTCATTTTTCCAAACTGCTCTGAAAACTTCCCAGGTTCTATAGGAAGCCCATCCCCCAAATCACCAGACTATAGCTATTGGATCAAAGAGCCCCATGCTTCTTCAAAAGACACCATCCTCCATTTTTAGACAATACTCATGGATCACTGAAATGTACTGATCTCAGTGGTGCAAGATCAAACCATGGTTTCTACTTTCGAAGACAACTGGAAATAGATGTCTCTGCACACCAGAATCTTTAGCATAAACATGACAAAGAAGTGAAAGCCATGGCACTTTCCTGTGCCTCCCTATCTTCAAAATACAAAATAAATGGACTTGCAGAACAAGGAATATTCAAATGCATAATAGAACATAAATACACACACATTGCAGAGATGGGACATTTTGGACAGGCTTCATGAAGATATCACTAAAGTTATTTGGGAATGAAAGTTAAAACACACTTCAGTGTAAAAAAAAAAACATTGTAGGTAGGAAGGGCAGGGAGACAGACGAGCCACCATTATGTGCATGATGCTATGATAAAGTTTCTTTGAAAGAACTGACAGTAAATGTTTCTCCATCAAAAGAGAAAATGATTTGCAGAAAATCTAGACATGAGCCATTTGCTGAGAACCAGCTTGGTACTTGGAAGTAAAAGAGGCACTCAGAACTTCTGGGTCACAGCTGTCTCACTTCTACAGCCCAGAGAACAGACATTTGGCTTATATTACATACAAGGAAACTCAGTTACAGAAGACTAAAGCCTTCCTGCCTGGACATCCATGAAGACCAAATGTTAGATCTGAGACCTGCAACTTTTGAGTAACTTCTACCTGAAGGCACACCAGGGTTACTATATTAAAAATAGTTCCCCAAAACTAATTCTTAATGGTCTAAGAGAGGAAAAGGATGAAAAGAATATATTGTAATTTTCTTTTTTACTTTTTTTTTTCTTTTTTGGTTTTTTGAGACAGGGTTTCTCCGTGTAGTTTTGGTGCCTGTCCTGGATCTTGCTCTGTAGACCAGACTGGCCTTGAACTCAGAGATCTGCCTGGCTCTCATCTGTCAATCCATTTTCTGTTGCTGATAACAGCATACAATAGAGTGAGTAAGTTACGAAGAAAAGAAGTTTGTTTCGTCCCATGGTCCTGGAGGCTCAAGTGGTCACATCTGGTAAGGGCCTTCCTGTTGGGGGGTACTCTCTGCAGAATTCTGTAGTGGTGTGGAGTATCACATGGAATCACTTGCTCCTTTCAACCTCTCTGATTCTTTTTATAAAGCTCCCCATCGCATCAAGGGGGATCTCACCCTCATGACATCATTTAATCTTAAACTACTTCCCGAAGATGCCACATCCAAACGCAGTGGTGTGTTTTTTTTTTTTTCTTTTTCTTTATTTCTTCTTTTTTTTCCCTGATCCTTTTCTTGAGACAGGGTCTCACTAGGTAGCCCAGACTAGTCATGATTCTCCAGCCTTAACCTCTCAAGTGCTAGAATCACAGGTGTGTGCCATCTTGTCAGGCCAATGTGATTTCTAGTCCACAAGCTTGTGGGAACTCACAAACTCTAGACCAACAGCCATGGAACGTGCATGGGACAAGACTAGGCCCTCTGCATATGGGAGACAGTTGTGTAGCTTGGTCTGTTTGAGGGACCTCTGGCAGTGGGATCAGGATCTATCCCTGGTGCATGAGCTGGCTTTTTGGAGCCCATTCCCTATGGTGGAATGGCTTGCTCAGCCTTGATGCAGGGAGGAGGGGCTTGGTCCTGCTCAACTGAATGTACCAGGCTTTGTTGACTCCCCAGGAGAGGCTTTACCCTTTTGGAAGAGTGGATGGGGAGTGGGGAAGAGCAGGAGGAGGGAGGGGAGCAGAAGGAGGGATGGGAGAGGGAACTGTAGTTGGTATGTAAAATGAAAAAGAAATTTAAATAAATTTAAAAAATGTGATAATGCTTTCAAACCATAACAGCCTGAATTTACATAAATATCAAATGTACTCAATACTCCCATTACATCTTGTGGTTTTTACTACATCATTTTCTTCCAGGATTATCACCTCTTAAATCTATACACTTGGTAGTAGACCATATTTGGAACTAAGATAACCAAAAGATCATTCCTTATTCAAAGAAGATATTGACATTGAAAGGTCATTTGAAAATACAAGATAGAAAAATGATACTGTTGTGGATTATAGTACACCTATGGCAGTATGAGTTACACACACACACACACACACACACACACACACACACACACACACACCACATCCCCCACTCTTTCTCCTCATAATAATTAGGTTCCTTAGTTAAGAGAGACCTATTCTCAAGAAGTGATTAAGACTATAAATCTTTGACATCTCAAATAACATATATAGACAAAAACAACAATGTCTTATATCCCACGACTAATTTTCCAAAGCACAATCACATCATAAAATTCAAGTCTAACACTACAGCATGAATTTTCTCATTACGAAATTTATTACGAAATAAATATGTAGTTAGATAGAAGGATAATGGATGGAGAGACAGACAAATAGGCAGACAAGATAACAAAAAGTGACTCAGAGAAACACGGAGGGCAGGTAACAGGAGTGAGGCTGATATTTAGACACCCTACCCTTTGGCACATTTCCTCATTGTCCGTACCTGTCCATAGCACAGCAAACACTGAAGGAACATTACGGGGCAAGAACGTAATGCACGGTGAATGAGAATGAAGGCTTTAGTGAGGAAGAACCCATGTTGATGGTAAAAAACATGCATAAATTCTAGGTTGGCAGATGGCACCTAGGAGGGCAGTGCTGGTCAGTACAATGACCACAGACTGCTTTATAATTGCAAGTGACATGGAAAACTGTAAAACTTAAGGTTGGGCAAGAGCACTCAACAAACCTAGCCAAGAATCCACCCATGGCCAACAAACATAAAAAGGAATTCTTTTCTAAGGCTACTAACTGCAACTCTTTTATACGCAGACAATTGTGTTTCTTTCTCATTATTCCTCCTGCCTCAACATGTGGGTCAAATATTATTTTTTTCCTAGAATGCCCCATTGTCTCTGAAACATGCATTGTATGTGTGCACATTCTCACCAGCAGAAATTTATTTCCTAAGCCAGCACCATGCTGTGTACCATGAAAAGTCACTCCTCCATAGGGATGAGAATCAGCCTTTTGAAAATGGGCTCATTGATCGTTACTACTACATCAAACTTGATTTTCAAAGAAAAAGCAGGGGGCATTTTTCTTTCCTGAGAACTTAGGAGTGAGCCTCATGGAAATTAGAGGTTGGGACTGACGCATAAGAACACATATAAAATACAGTGGATATAATTGGCCTTAGTGTTCCTTATAGACATTATTGTTTGATTATTATAGTTCCTCTTGAAGAATAGTTACTTCGAATGCAAAACTGGGGTGGAGAATCTGAAAAACAGACCCGAAGGAGGAAAACCGTTGCCTGATAAAAGGTGTTCCTGGTGAACTGTTGATTCTCGCTGGTGCCTCAATTCTGAAACACTGCCTCTAGTTAGAAATGATTCCGTGACAGTGGTTAGAATGTGCACTGACTAACAGAGAGTGTCCCATTCCAGAGGATGCTAAACTGGGAAAGCACAGTGCACCTGATAGTTAGCTCCTGATTTGGGAGCTTTGCTTTCAGAACCCAACATAGTGGCTTTCTAGGTCATATTGGGGTTGTCCCTTCTGGGATCTCATTGATTTAGATAGTAGAATTTCAATGCTAGACTTAGAAATTATAAGTGGGTCTTCTGTAGGAGTTTTCCTTGTGTTC